ACTTACTTTTTCCTTAAAATACTTATTATAAAGTTCCAAATCCAGGGTATGGTAGGGGTAAAAGAAAGTTTAAAATGATTTGTTCTTAAATCACCATATATGGTTCAACCCAGATGTGCACATCTTGGCATTTGTGATGCATAAATATCACAGGCAATTAAAAACAAAATACACCTGTGTATCCAAGTACTAATTTTCGTATTTCCCAGTTAAGTCTCCAGACACATCCAGCAGATGGTGCTCTAGGCCACCTACTTCCAGAGAGGAATGCTATTAGTGTTACATCCACCTATATTTTGGCAAGACAAAGAATAAGGATTTGTCAGTAGCTTCGGTAAAACATACTTGGCTTTATGGTAAAAAGGACATAATTCCTAAATATGTGCACAAAAATATACATATGCATAAGCACATGTGCAGAGGCGACCAGTAAATAATTCACACCTTGTGGTTATGATGCTACTTTTCTCACAGACTTGATGAGTAGTCTATGTGTTTACCAGTGGTATTTACAGTCACATGGCAAGATCATTCTAAATTCATTAAAAAAAAATTTAGAATGCCTTAAAGTTAGAATTCATTTTTAATTATAGCAGGAATGTCTCATTAGGGTGATACTAGTAAAATTAACAACAGTAGGATTTACGGTAATGACTTAAGTGATTGATGAGAGTATAACAAAATGAAGTTTTAGACAGAGAAAAAACAGGGCAGCCATGGCATACAGTACTTTAAAAAACAGCTCTGTGGTCTGTTAGTGCTAGCCTTATGGTTAATAAAACCTCCTTTCTAATTAACGGTGCTGAAATGCTCTTAAAGAACAGAATCTTGTTATGAAAAAAAAAAAAAAAAAACACAACTTGGTTTTCTTCAGGAGACGCCATTCCCATAAAGGAGAAAGCTGACACAGGTTAGCATGTCTGATTGCAAAGAGGAAAAATATGCCACCTTTCAATCAAATCAAAACCAGAACGCAAGGACGGAAAACTGCTTTACTGAAACACTACACACAAATCTGTGCAACACCTCGCCATCAGCAGCCATCTGCTTGGAAAGCTAATCAACTCTGGCTTTAGAAACATTGCTCCACTACCCCAAAATGTCTAATAAACATTTAATTTTAAAAATCCAAGTTTACTATTTGGTAATATAATATAAAATAGTCAAGAAATAACAACTATTTTGTACATTTTCACCTTGCTCGTCTAACTAAATAAAATTTGTCAAAGTTTAAAGTATTTAAATACCAATCCAAAGTCCCCGGCACATTTCCTCCAGAATCTGGAAATGAGCAGTCTGGACAGCATTGCTCAGAGGGAGAAACACTGTTGGACACTATTTCATCCTAAAACACAAAGGGGACCAGGAAAGGAGAGGTGTTGTGCAGAAAACATCTCTCACTGATATGTGTATCGGTTAATGTTATCTTAAAAACACAAGTAAGTGGAATTCTATTTTTAAGTGTTCTTCTCAAGAAAACTGCATTGGACAGCAGATAATAATCCTAAGATAACAGAGTGAAAGATAAAAACCGGGATGCAGAACGGCAAGCCTTTTGCTACGTGCTTTAGGTAGGTTTCATAAAACATCTGTGTCTTTTTAAAAAGCCCCAAATTATACTGCTTTTAGGTTTTATACAGTTTCAATTAGCCAGATTTTGCTCAAGTATGTGTGTATTCATTTAGGACGGCATATTATTTAAAAATAGTTATATAACTATCAACCTTATATACAACACCAATGTCAGATATGGAGAAAATGGTACACACAGCCTCGTGTCTCTAGTAAACACAACTCCTAGCTGTTCTCACAGGTTTTAAATAGAAACAACTACATGGCAGAACGAGATCTATAAAATGCACAAGAAGCAAGAGCCCAGGCTTTTTTTATTTACTTAGTTTCCTTTCAAGAAAGAAAAAGTCTAAAAGCAAAAATTTAAAGTTGAGGCATCACGTGCATTTACAGGCCACCGTGCGAATGGGGAAGCCCCAGCACTTGGCAAAGGTCATTTCTGTGCACCTGAGACACAGCGTGGGAAAGAGCGTGACCTGGAGCCCCTCACTGAACGGCTCGGTGCCTGTGGTGGAGCCTTCAGCGAGGCAGAGGCTGAGCCTAACCAGCTTGAGTGGATGTGGAAAACAGTTCACACACAGTAAAAATTATTTTCTTTCAAAACGCTTACACTGGCTCTTTCATTTTTCTATTCTAATGTGTGTAAGTTCTCATAATACGAAAAAGTGCCTGTCTGTCTTTCTCCCAGACTCATCCTTCAAAGCTAAAACGAAATTAAATTGGGACATCAGCTGTTATAAAATGGCCAGAAAGGACAAGGTTCACTTTGAGAAAGGTAATTTAATCCAGTCAAGATACATTACGAATTTTTTAAAATTTGTATTAGATGTGCTGTTATGTTATTCTTTTATTTTTTTTCTCTTCATTACCGGCATTACTAGGAGTTAATGTCCACCGTACTACAGATAATAACAGAGTACAGATGAAGTGCTTCATGAAAAATGCAACATTATAATACATGTACTCTAATGCCAACAAGATGGTGTTTGTGTGGTGATTTATTTGGGCCGAGCATCCTGTGCTTCTGATAACACCTTAAGCCAGTTACCGCTGTTGCTTTCATTTTATGACAACAGAGAGGAACCACAGCAAGGCTGAGAACTTAAGATTTTTGTTGTACTACAATGCCTTGGAGTTGGTCACTCCTACTTGATTTTTTTTTAAGGACATGCAAAAAAAAAATGTGAGAAAATGTAAAAATGGAATTAAAGTGTTGGTAGGTAGGGAGGTGAGGAGGGAGTGAAGGGAAGGTGGGGACAAGGGGAAAAAATGAGAACGAAGACCTGTCATGTAAAGGTACAAGATCCCAGTAATGAATGGAACTGTACTGTATCCCTAGAATGTACCAATAAAGTCAATGAAAAAAATAAAAATAAAAACCATCTCTAGGACAATTTATAAGGCACTTACATATATAAAGTATATTTAATTATATACATACATTGATTTATATGTCTAAAGATGCAATGCTCTTTTCCTTTTGAAAAGGGAACATTTTAAATTTTAAAACATGCTTAAATTTCTGAAATGCAACAGAAATGACATGCAAGAATACCTAATAAGTTTTAGCCAGTTCTCAGAATACACATTGGTGATGACTGTACAAAATTCAGAATGTTAAGTCCATGGGTTAAAAAACCATATACCTTCGTATGTGTCTGTGTGTGTACATTTGTGTGTGAATGTGTGTTCTGATTGCTATAAAGATACGAAAGAGCTTACATTAAGGCAAGAAAAAGTTCTCCTTAAATATTTTGAGACAAATAACAAAACTCTAGATGTATTATCTGTGTTGAATCCAAGTTCACAAGATAATTTAGTGAATCTCGTAACTGGATTTACAGAAACAAGAAAAATTGAAAGTAGTGACCCAACCTAAGAAGCCATCAATTTTAGGAAGAAGAACCAGAACTTTAGGCTCTATAATAAAAAGAACATGAGGTACTTTCCAAAGAATGTGAAAGCAAAATTCCTAATATTTATATCTTTTAAATTTTTACTGCAATTGTATGCAAAGTGAAGATATATGTATAAATACACAAAATACACACAAACATACTCTCCCCACCAAATGTACATATACACACAACAACGTGATCTGATCACACAGACTACAGATCCATGGCATCACAGCCTTCAAATTATTTTTCATATTCTATTCAGGTAGGGCATTATGCCTGTTTTGATTAGAATGAGGAATACACGCACACACACACACACACACACACACACACACACACACACACACACACACACACACACACACACACACACACACACACACACACACACGGTTAAGTGAATAAAAGCCTGCATTACCTACCACTCCAAAATCTATACTGTACATAATATGAAATATCTGAAAAATACTTTGCATATTAAAAAAAAAACTACTACCATTTGACTACTTTGTTTTGAACAAAGGTTTCACTTTCACACAAATGTTCCCCATTAGGCACGGCTTTGAGAAGTCAATCTGAAATAGGATGGGGCTCACACGTGTCCTACTGCTTCACGCACAGAGGCTGAGTGACAGATGTAAGTGCCACGGTATTCAGGTAAAATAAGCAGGAACAACGTGATCCTTCCTTAACCTTGAGACTGGCTTAAATTAAGAAACTGTAAATATTTAAGAGCAGTTAAAATGCTCTAGTTCATGAAGTAAAAATCTAAAGCTATTTTTGTGGGAACTCTTCACTGTTGTCATCATCATTTTAATTAAATTCTCATTTTTCAGGTGGTCCCTTTAATTGTTTTTTCCTACTTCTTAATGTGTTTTTCTAAAGCCATTTCTTTTCTGCAGCTGTGTGCGATTGGTTTTAATGGTAGCTGCTTCCTTTTTTTGCCTTCTGTGAATTACAATTTTAAATGGTTACACATTTTTTGTTTTACTGCCTTTAGCACAGTTCCATAAAGATGTTTAAGGCTGTTGGTGAACATTTTCATTCCCATCTGAAAAACCAAGAGCCAATTTGAATATTCCATATTGGCCTTTATGACCTGCTTTCTCTTTTAATATGTAAATGAAAGCATAATTTTATAAAGACTGGTAGTTTTCCATGAAATTATAATTTTTATTTTGCTCTTTTAAAATATGAATTCAATAAACAAGATAATATATTGCTGTTCTCTTATGCTAGATCTTATTGTTCACAAATAAAACACCTCTATTTTATTGTCAATAGCCATTTCCAATGAAAAAAATCAGCATTTGGGGATCATAAGAATAACTTATCACACACACAAAATTTCGTGTATCTTAATTATCAATGACCACAAAACTGTTTTAGCAACAAGGCTATCTAGATGTTTCTCAAGTTCCAAATAAGAAATTAGAAATACTTGATATTCAGCTTTACTCACCAGAATGAAAAAGTAACTTACAATGCAACATGTAACTCTACAATCGCGTGTAAAAGTGTACTCACTGCCTGGGTTATCTCCAATCCCACTGCTTTTTCCATTCCAGTACCACAGCAGAAGGGTTGCATCACGTGACCCTGAGAGAACGTAGCAGTTTCCCCCAATGTAGGACTCAGAACGAGTGAGGCAAGTGACGACATCCCAGTGACCAAATACCACTTGGATCAATTTTCCTGAAATACAGAACAGTTTTCCTTAAAATTTCTATTAAAAATAACAAAATTCTAGTGAAAACATAACGTGGAAGACCATGACGCTAGGTTAGCTCAGGCTCTGATGATTCAGATTTCACAATGAATCGACCTGATTCCGCATGACCTTTTCTGTGAATATTAAGAGTTGTGAAAGGCAGATGTTATAACCATTCCAACATATAATACTTGAGGACTTCTGCAGGGTCACCATATATTACAAAAGAATCCTGTGTACTGGTTAGAGCAGGCCCACGAGAACCCACTGTGGAACTATTTCAACGCTTTCTGTGAGTTACTTTGTGTGATTCAAAGTAAAACAAAACTCAGCTGCCTTGCTGTAAGAGCACCGTGTAGCTCAAATTTCACTATTACAGACTAATCTTGATGAAGATTTTGTGTATTTATCCTTTTAAAAAATCACTTCGGAGAGAATTTCTGCCTTTTCAAACCAGGATTACGTGGATAAACTTTTGATGAAAAGACTAATTTACTGTGATTTCGATCTGAGCCAAGTCGTTCTTTCATTGCCCTAATCATCGGAATCATGAAAATTGCTTTGGTGCGACAGTGAAATCAAGAGTCCAGAACTTTAACAATAATCACTGGGGACAGTGGAGAGGAACTAAGTCATCTCACTACATCTCCAGGGCCTCAAACACAGGAAGAGCTGTCTACATAAAGGTAACAGGAAAGAAAGGACACTGATTGTGGCTGTAACTCACATGAACTTGTGTGAATAATTAAATGTCTATAGCAGCCCCTCCACGCCATCCCTAGAGTTAGTCTTAGCTAAACTTTCCTAACATCTACACAATCTACACATGAAGGTCATGGGATGTTTACCCTTAACATTCAGCACGACTTCAAAAAATGTGTTTCAGTAGAGCCTCAGAATTATAATCCATATGTCCAAGAAAAAGATTAAGTCGAAAAACGCAATAATATGCTTAGAAAGCTTCTGAGTGTTGCCTGGAATGCATGATAAACTATTCAAAAGCTTGAGGTCTTATTTAAGTCTTGGCATCTAAGTGTTTTTAACTTAAGTTAATAAATATAACTAAGGGAGTATTTACATTATACTTTTGAAATTCTTGATTCTAATAAACTCAGAGGTTTATAATAAAAGCTGGACATTTAGAAATACAATGCTGAAGCATCCTTTATCTGCACCGGTAGGGAGTCAGAGTATACGGTTTTACTCAAGAGGCCGTGTTGCATACAGCTTACTACTAGTAACCCTAAAATCAGATGATTTACACCTCAGAATGCAAACTTATTAAAGCGCCCTTTTGTCTCCCTATGACTAAAGAAGCAAAGACGTCAGTGAAGGCCTGTGTTTCAAATGCTAAATGTAAAGTGATCACTGCAGAGCTTCTTTGAGCTTTTGAACTGTTGCCCAAAATTTACATACCAAATTAGGTTATATCAAGGGGCTGTTTTAAGAAAAATTCAAGAATAAGTAAGTTTAAAAAGCAAGGTAAACATGAAAATAGTAACTGTCATCATTTCCAAGTGAAGAGGGGTTGTAGTTAGATTGTAGGCAGGTTTTATGTGAGATACAAGGCAGCTGTGGGAAGTTATGTGAGATAAAGACAAAAGCTAGCTGAGTGTAGGCAACGATGATTAGAAAACCGAAAGCCGGTTAGGTCAGTCTGTTCTGCCTGCCCAGAGAAACTGGACGTGTCGCCCTGTGGTATGTCTTGACCACTGAGTGTGTCCAGGGACCCTGCGCCAGCCTGCACCTACATGCTCAGTGCAAACCGGGAGTGACTGAGACAGGTTCTCCGGGAAGAGGCTGCCTCCCTTTTGAAACCCAGCAGCTGAGAGGCTGCAGGAGAGGGGGAGGAATGCACTGAGACTGAGGCAGGTGGCCGGAGGAAGCCCTGCGTGCCTGGTGCACCAGGGGCTTGCGGAGAGCAGCTGCTCACAGACCACTCACTTCCTTCCCAGCTCCTGCACGGCGGAAATGGAACCTTTTAGCTGAGGAAGAAGGGTGACATATTGAATGCGGGGGGGGGGATTTCCAAATTCTCACTCCTCTCTAGTTCAGTCACTGCTGTTTCCCTGAGGTCAGCACAAGGAAAATGTATTCTCAGTCATGATGGGATTTTAACTAAAAATGTGTTTTAACTTTTGATCAAAAAGTTATCAAAATTATTTTTCATTTGACAGATGTTTACTGAGCACCTACTAAGTGCCAAGTATCACACTTTTTTTACACCGATATCGTGGTAAACAGACAGGCCGCTGCCCTTGGAAGGTTTACTGTCTGGCGGGTCAGGAAGACATGGGACAAGCAATACAGACAGACATTTATTAAAAAAGAATCTGAAATAACAAGACAGAACAACTTTAGTCTGGGTGTTGAAATATTTAAATGATTACATGGAAGAGTTTCATATTGTAATACAGTTTATACTCTGGGCTCAGCCCTGGAAAACACTATTTTTTAAAGTTTCCTTTTTCCTCTTTGTAGCATTCCTCAGCCATGGCTGCTATTGCTATGAGGCTGAGGTTCGCTCCTCCTAAATAAATCACAGCACATAAATACCTGCTGCTCTTTTTGGTAAATTATTTTCTGATAATCTCATAAGTGTTCCTCAACCTTTAGTTTTTGTTTCCTTTAATACCAGTCTACCTCTCCACACACTAATATCAAATATTACCACAAGCACTAGAATATCCCTTTTTTGACAGAACAAATTTTCTAGTTAATGTTTTATTTGACAGCTGTGCTACAAATAAAAAAATTCCAGCTCAGGACTCCGCACCACTGAATCTAAAATGTGGCCTGAAAATAATTCCAACTGCCGAGGGAAGGTTTTATTGTTGCCTCTGCTGCTCTGGTTGTGCCCCGAAAACATGATTTATGTTTAAAGAATTTCCTGTTACAACCCACATTTCTCCCCCACCCCCCAATCTAATAAGAGAAGGAATTTTTTTGGCTTGTGTGCTAAAATATAATTGAATTCAACACTTGTGATAGCTTTGCCATTATATATTACCGATCATACAATTTTCCTCTTACTTTTCTAAACTTAGGAAAAAATATTTAAAATTCTTCTTGTTGTAAAAACACAAACACATATTTATCCTAACAAAGTTATCTTAAATAAAACCAGCATCCAAGTTTGCATGCGAGACATTAAGAAAGATACTAGGGCTACCATGGTTTTTTATTTACAAGTTTTCTGGCAAGTATAAATATATTTATTCTACAAGTTAAGCTGGTTCCACAGAAATGATTTTTTAAAGCCATTCCTTATAAAAATGTTATATACCTACACAATCAGATTTTTAAAAACATTGTATTAGAAGGTAAGGGAAGGTAAGGGAAGGTAAGGGGATGTAAACCTAATGTAACACGGCTGACCTACTAAGAACTTAGTGGAACAGACTGTGGTGGTTTCCAAATTAATGGTTGAATCACAACACCTGTGTAAGGCAACATGGTGCTGTATCATGGCAAAGAAGCTGCACTTGAGGTCAAGAACAGCTAGGTCCAAGGCCCAGTTCTGTGAACATTGCACAGGCAAATTTCAACATTTCCTTAACCTCCTTAAACCTCAGTCTCATCATCTGGAAAATGGTGATAAGGGTTCCTGGGCATCTCACAAGTGAGAGGCTGGAACAATTATCATGCGTATGAAAGAATTCTGTACATTCTCAAAACAAAAACTCCGTAAATATAGGTACTACTCTGGTTATTAGTATTATACAAAAGTGAAGCTAGCTTTACTTTATAAATATTAATATTGAACACCTTTCAAAGATAGACAATGTCGATGAATTTTTAAAAACTCAAACATCAAAATTGAAGATTGACATAATTTATGATTCCCCTTATATGACCTTCTGGAAAAAGCAAACTTATCGATGTGGGTTAGACCAGCGGTGGCCAGGAGGCGGGGGGGTGGGGCTGGCTCCTTTCAGGCATGATGTGGGGTGTGTGTGTGTGTGTGTGTGTGTGTGTGTATGTGAGTGAGAAGCTGCTCTGCACTTGGGTGTCAGGTGGTCACTTAACTCTCCACACTGTCAAAACTGGTGGCTCTAAGCCAAGAAAAATAAATTTTACTGTGAAAATTTAAAAATAAACATAAATAACATGTGCTCTAAAAGAATATTTAAGAAAATCTTGTGAGAGGCTGTAATAGGGTTAACTTGAACGCTTGTACAAAAGGAGAACACAATTTGAGGTCAAATCATGCTAATATTGTAACTACCAAATCAGAAAAATTCATTATAATAACATGTATTTTAGGAAAATTTATCAATCCCCATTGTATTTAGGGGTATTTTAGGTTCAACAGTAATCTCCCTCATAGACTTAAACAGCTAGTAAAAAGCCCAAGTGAATGATGATTGTTTTTCTAAGACCTACAGAATAAAAATGCAAATGATAAGAGAAGTAGATCTTCTATTCCATAAAATTTAAAATAAACACAAAATCATGCCTAAACACCACTTCTAGGGTTTATTCTATTTTTTCCTATTTTTGGCCATGTTATAATATGAACAAAAAATACACTCAAGACAAACTTCAAGAAAAATGAACAATTAATTATTTTATATATACTCACTAAGACAGGAGCATGGACTCATATACTTTATAGAGTATTCCAAAGACTGAATATTATTTACCACAAAGAATTTAATTAATTAGAAATTCAGTTAAGAAGAATTTCCTATTCCCACAGTAGATTTGGTATCAGCTGCTAGAGGTGTAGCTTTGTGGTAGAGCACATTCTTACTAGCATGCAGGAGGCCCTGCACCCAAAACAAAACAAAACAAACAACATCTGCTTCCAGAGAATATACAAATTAGTATGAACATATTATCTAATTTTAATTATTTTAGACATTTAACCACATACTATGAGTTTATTCTAACAGTTTCTAAAATATTGTTTTAAAGACTCCATTAAGTTTTTCAATTTCCTACATGCAAAAATGTATAAACATTTCCTGGATTACAGCTTCTGTAATAATACAGAGTTTGTCCCTTAGGGAGAGGCCTGCAAATGCATACAGAGACCTAAACGTTTATATTTTAACAAGAGCTCCTGTCATGCCTAAAGTCAGTAGTCAGCTACTTTTCTGCAGGACAGTATTAGGTCTCAGCAGAACTGCATGCAGAACTGGGTATGAGCAAGATACCTACTCCAAAGAGATTCTTACTGAGCTTTTCCAGGGAGAAAGAAAACTCTTTAAATAATATGAAAGTGGAAAATATGACTATATGTATGTGTACTCACATTAAGATTATGCACATATAAATGTGTGTTGTATTTATATAGCAGGCTTTGCCTTCAAAATGAATCGTTCTTTAAGCATGCACTTGGGAGACAAACCTACTATAAAAAGCTACCTCTTAAAAACATGATGACGCCAACAGTACACTATCTAGCATTATTTCTTCAAAGGGGAAAACAATATCCTTTTATCTTTATTTTACAAATTTTAGGGTTTTGTAGTTTAGGGAAGGAAGATGAGGCAGCATTCTATGTCTTGCAGGGCTACGAGTCACAACCAAGTTCACTGATGAAGGTAATCAATTACCTGTGTCCGTGGAGTAGACGCGGAAACTCTTGTCCCAGAAGCCACAGACAAGGATGTAGCGATTGTCGGAAGTGATGACAAAGCACTGGGAATGCACTCGAATGCTCTGGTCTAAAAGGTCAGTGATTTGCCTCCTGTGCATTCCTGTATTGCTGGCTGTGAGAAAAAAATTTGACTGAATCCATTTGAAACCATATAGACCACTGTACTAGGAGATAGGGGTGTGGGGTGAGAGGAGACACAGTCCAGAATAAGAACACCTGACCTTTAACTTTCAGTGTACTAATATTTGTAAAATCAAATAGGAAAACACATACAATTGCTGGGAGAATGTGGGTGGTTAAATTGAACATCTCAGTAAACAGGGTTTTGCTTAGAGGAAAGAAATACTGACACGCTACAATTTAAAAATAGTATACAGGGACGGAACGTGCTTCCTAGCTCTTGGGCAGGACAAAACTAGATTACAACCTCCAGACTGAATCACGGTTAGGTTTGTGTTTCTGACAATCTCATTACATCTATTGTCATGAGAATGGATTCATGTTGTGACAATCTATTACCTTTAACATTTTGTCACAAGGAAGAGATGTTAGGATTTAAATGTCATATATCTGAAATATTGTAGCATCTTGTGCTACTTGGCTTTAACAGGTCTTTAATTTGACCGGATAGGAACTCCCGTTTCCCGTTTACAGGTGTACTTGCACGTAAGGAAAGGCTGAATGCTTGTTTATTATAGATTCACGAAATTAAAAAAGTCAAAGTGCAGCACACTGACACTTCCTTACTTCTTATTCAAGCAATGAAACAAGACAGCCTGGCAGTGTGTCCCCAGGACTGCAGAGCACCCGAGATGAGTTTTTTCACAGGTGTGAGGGCAGATAAAGGGCCAAACCAACCACCCAGGAAGGGTACTACTCCTCCAGAAGTACTGTGCACCATCCAGGGTGCCACTATCAGCAAACAGGATGGCCACCGAGATGCTTCCTGGTATTAGGAGGCCAATCAGACAGAAAGCTTTGTTTCTAGTGGTCTTATTTACCTTCACCTTTCCAACGCAAATAATGGTTCTTATCCTGCCACAGAAACTTGATTGTACCAGCAACCAGAACAGACAGAAGGAATGTCTACATCAAATTATTGAGGGTTTTTTTAAACCATAGTTTTCAAGTTTTGAGAGGAAAACTACATTGCTCATAAAAATTTAAAAAAATCTATATTATATTCATTGTATGTAATAACTAAGTTAGTGTGAGTGGTTTAATCAAGTATCATGAAAATGAAAACAGAAACCATGTGTCACAATGCTCCCTAGTGCCATGCTGGGAATGCCCGGGGACGGGGGACTGAACTCTGCCCCGCCTCACAGCACACACAACACAGCAAACATACGCACACGCATGTGAAATTCTGCAGAATGCTGCTGGTGTCTGTTGACATAGATTACTGCAGTAGGTAAGTGTTTGCTAAAGCAGGCTTCATGTGCTGTGCTGCGGGGGGATTAATGGGCTAAAAGGGGCAGAATTCTAGTTGGGGGGGGTTCCCTCTTCCACACCAAGAAGCTGTCGGGGGACAGGGGGTACAATGGTGTGTGAGGGGAAAACAATATTCCACTGCAGTGAAGCTGTGAGCATTTTTTAACTCTAAGAAACCTAGGGATTAAAAACAATGTATGTAAGTACTTTCTACACTGGTTTCTACAGTGATTTCATTCCACACATCTTTAAAAACTTATTTTTGTCAGTGTTTATATGAAATTTGCTTGCACTGGTTGCTTTGGGGCAGCAGCCTCTTGTGAGGACCTCCTCACAAATTTGGGCACCTATAAAATTCTCATTGAGGGATACAGAGCACCCATGGGTAAAGCCTGAAGCCCTTCAACATGCAGATGGATTATTTCCAAAGCAAGTGCTTACTTGCAGTGAATACTGCAGAGCTCATCCATCCATCCATCCATGCATCTCAAACAGCATATTATCTCATTGTTTTCACTAGTAAACTTGAGATTAAGTACTAAAAGTATTTTTATTCAATGGTAATTTGGTGAATTTGGTGAGACTAGCAGTCTTCCAACTGGGGCGTGCACATCCCTGGGGTTTTACGCTTCACAGAGGATACACAGGCAGGCGGTTTCAAGGGAATTCATTTCTAGCCTCTCAGCTTTCACACTTACTCACCTGAGAATGCTCCCGTGAGTCGTTCTTGTTTCCCCTTTCACATGACCTTCTAAGACTAAGTAAAATAATGACACATTTCCCTTCGACCCAGAACCTGTTTTACCTTAGGGTAAAAAGGGTCTCCTGGGAGCCAAACACTGATGTGATACAGAAAAGGGAGCGCTTAGATAGCACATCATCCTGCAGGCCGGGTGAGTTTCAGTAAATTGGAATGAGGGTCTAATCTCACCTTCAACTAAAAATGTTTCAATGACAGATCGTTACAATGGAGACAACATATTAAACCACAAAACTCAATAATCGATTGCTATATAACTTTTGCCACATAACTCAGAAAGACTTCAAAGATTTGTCTGATGTGAAACTCTTTCCTCTCCTATGTATTTCCTCACGTGAATAACATTCCTCAGTCTCTCTCTCTGTTTACGAAGTGGGGCCTCCCTGTATTGCCCACGCTGACTTGACCTCCTACTCCCAAGCAGTCTTCCTACCTTGCCCTCCCAAGTGCTGGGACAAAAAGCACACACTGCCCTGCCTGGATAGTTTCCACCCATAAAAACAAAAGAACGCGATGGGCCTACTGACAAGACCTGTTATGCTCTGCAATAATTAACGTTCATTCATGAATATATGAGCTACCTGGAAGAAAAAGCCCTATCTTATTAAAGATGTATTTCCAATCAACGTTTTAACATTTGATATTTATTAAAATGAAGTATAACATTTATTTATTATAAATAAAATGAAGTATAACATACTGTAGTTACAAGTGAATATTAATAATCTAATGATCATTTAATGCAAATATTTTAGAAATCTGAGCCTGGGGTCCTAAGAAATTTTAAAATTTTAATTTATATATACATATTTTTAACTTCCTGTACATCTTTCTATTGCTAAAAAGCATAAGGTGATCCATTTAAAAAAGTTAAAGATAAAACATGTAGAGGAAGAGGTGAGGATATAGCTCAGTGATACAGTACTTGCCTAGCCTAAATGAGGCCTTGGGTTCCATCTCCACCAGTGCCACCCCGCAAAAGGAGTGGGGGAACTAGAATGAAAGTATAAATTCAAGATGGAAAGAAGTAAGGTGACATTTTCAACTGGTACGCGTTTACACATTGATTCATTCATTCATTCATTCATGGTTTTCTGAGGCAGGATCTACCTTGTAGTTCAGGCCCTCACCTTACTATGTAGCCCAGGCTGGACATGAACTCATGGCAATCCTCCTGTTTCAGCCTCCTGAATGCTGGGATTACACGTGTGCACCACCATGCTACATACATTTAAAAAAAATTTTTTTTTTTGTACCGGGGATCGAACTCAGGTCCTTGCACTTGTCAGGCAGGCACGGCGCCACTGAGCTAAATCCCTGGCCCCTTACATTTTTTTCAAAATAGAAAATGTTAAGTATCATTCACTCTGATATTCAGATTCCATAGGTATATTAACTTTTTTTTAACCTATGACAGAAATTATAACCTTTGCAACTATATATACTTGTGATGAAAACTTTTAAATGTTAATTTTAAAATTTATGAGAAGATACATGGCTTTACACAATGAGTACAGGAGAAGAGCACACTAGTGATCTGTGATCTGGAGTCCAAACACCAAGCAAAACAATGGCCCACAGGCTGAATTTGGCCCAGGCTTGGTTTCATCTATAGTTTTATTTATTTATTTATTGGGTTTGAGACAAGGGATCTCTGTGTAGCTCAGGCTGGCTTTGAACTTGCAGTGGTCCTCTTGCCTCAGCCTCCTGAGTGCTGGGATTACAAGCCTGGGCCGCCTCGCCTGGCTGTTCACAGTTTTGTGGAAGCCCGTGTTCATCTTGCACATTTGTCTATGGTGGCTTTGTGCTATAACAGCAAGCTTAAATAGATGTGTCTGAGATTTTAAGGGCCACAAAGCCTAAAATGCTGTACTATCTGGGCTTTTACTGAAATATTTGCCTGGACTTGTTTTAAAGTTATAGTTTTTGCCGGGCGTGGTGGCACATGCCTTTTTAAGGGCCACAAAGCCTAAAATGCTGTACTATCTGGGCTTTTACTGAAATATTTGCCTGGACTTGTTTTAAAGTTATAGTTTTTGCCGGGCGTGGGCGCACATGCCTTTAATCCCAGCACTGGGGAAGCTGAGGCAGGAGGATCGCTGTGAGTTCGAGACCAGCCTGGGCTACGCAGTGAGTTCCAGGTCAGTCTGAACTACATAGTAAGACCCTGTCTCAACCCCCCCCCAAAAAAAGTTATAGTTTTTGAATTAATCTTTTCTAGTGTATGTCTACAGTATATGTGTACACACCTCATGTCGAGCCGGTACATGTACATAACACATCTTAATTCCTTTCTTCACCGCCTTCCTCTCCTCCCTCCCGCTTTCCATTGCTTGATCCCCTTTCCATTTGCAAAAGTTCTATCTCGTGTTTCTTATTATCAATCTTTTATTTTGCTCTTTAATTTATTTATACCTTGGATTTCTCTTCAAGAGGAACCACCTGGTATCTGAGTTTGTGTGTCTGATTTATTTCACTTAACATTATGGTCTCGAGGTGCATCCATTTTCCTACAAATGATTCAAGTTTATCTTTTTGGCAGAGTGGTACTCCATGGTGTCTCAACACCACATTTTCTTTATCCATTCATCTGTCGATGGACATACAGGCTCCTTCCAAGACTTGTCTATTATGAATTGTATTGCTTCTGCCTAGCAAGAGAAACAATCAACCTACAGAATGAGACAAAAAATTTGCCAGCTATTCTTCAGACAGAGGACTAATCCCTAGAATACATAAGTAACTTAAAAAAAAACATTAGCCCCTCTGCAAAATGAAAGACTGAATCAAAACACTGTCCAGCAAAATGAACAGACACTTCAAATGGTCAAAACAATACATGAAGAAATGCTCAGCATCACTGGCCATTAGCGAAATAAATGAAAATTCAAACAACACTGAGATTCCATCTTATCCCAGAAAGCATGGCTGTCATGAGGAAATCAAATAACAACAAATGCTGGCGAGGCTGTAGGGAAAAGGAACCCTTCCACACTGTTGGTGAGACTGTAAGCTAGCACAACGACTACAGAAACATACTGTAGTGTCAAGTGTTAAGCAAACAATGGGCTGGAATTCAGAGATAATGCTTTACATGACTTAGCAACTGGGCTTTATTATTTTCCTGAGTTTTAAAACTATACAGCTAGCATTATTTTTTTTTTTTAAAGTATGTGGCAAATCGTATCTACTCAAAGCCAAGTAAGATTTGGGAACAGAGCAGTACCTGTCCTTTACATAATTACTTCTTAGATTTCTGTGTATATATGGGGAAATGATACATAAACTGCTTTTGAGCTTAAAGTTAGATTTATTTATCCTGATAGTCCACCTGTGAAGGGCACCGTTTAGCAGTATTGAGACAAAGGCTTTAAAGACAAAAGAGGTAATATACACATATGGAATGTGTCAGATTTTAAAATAATAAATCTTTTCAACCTTTCCTTAAAAATAGCAAAATTCTACACATGTTTTTGTGCCAGTGAAATGTGACAAAACTATGAGCCCAATGTCCATGCTGGTGGCCTACACTCACAGTAAGACAATCCAGTTCTCTACAACAGAAGTTACTGCACAGCATCTACAATTTTAAGGCTTAACATTCTTGGTGATGCCACACTTGAAATCCCCAACGAACCTACTCAAAAAGCATAACAGCAATGAAATATTCTAAGTCATCTGAGGCAGATGTGCCTTTTGTCCCAATGGCTCTTTCTGGTCTCCTATTTTTTTTCCTTCCCTGAACAAAGTTAACCTCCAATGGCAATTTATTGGGCTGTAGAACCCTAGGAAAATGAATACAAATATCTTAACACTACCATTGGCTGAGCAATCTATTTCAACTTGGAAACTGCTCTGCAACTGCACATTAATCCCCTCAGACTGAATGGAGGGTCCAGGAAGAAAGGATTGATCTCCTTTAATGATGAAACCCTGGCACTACAGTTTTATTTTTCACAACACAGTGCCGCTAAGAACCCCACTGTTATTATGAAAATTTCCCTAGCAAAGGAGCTCCATCACATTACCGGTACACCAATTCATCATAACGTGCCTCGCTCCTGCTCATCAACAAGTCTGAGTGATGAAAAGATCCAATATTATCCTGACAGTACTTCATGCGCATTCTCAATCACACATTATTACAGCATCCATATTAATTTTCAGTGACACGCGTCCTAGGCCTGTTCAAATTAGGCAAACCAACGAGGGGGAGTTGATGAAATACCAGCATAGCCACAGCTCATTGCATTCCAATTTGCATGCAAATGGTTTATCAGGAAAATTCCATTCCCAGCAACCAGCAAGTGAAAAACAACTGTAATCTACACTTCAGGGCCACCATACAGAGCTTAATGAATCGCAAAGAGAGAAGGAAGTGACAGACCTATGAGAGGATCGATTTCCACTGGCAGCTGGTATGGCTGGTCTTGTACAGCACCTTGATGAGCTGGAATTCACAAAAGATAAAAAAAAAAAGCATTATTTTTCATACACTTAACTACATAAAAATGCGTAAGTTAAACCTTATGTAGAATTGTTTCCAATCTCCCAATCTCTTCTGCAGTTTTGTGAAATTTAAAGAGCAAAAATCCAGGTGCTTTTATGGCTGGCTTATTAAACATTTATTTTAGATTAGTGCTGTTCTGAACATGTGCCATTGGCGGTGGCTCCAGTCCTAGGCCATAAGCTATAGCAGATGCTTGACTGGCAGCCTCTGATGCTGCAACAAAACAAAATTAAGTGGTAAAGCGTGCTGAAAACAAAATGTGACAACCATCTGCTGACTGTAGCAAATACTGTTTTTTCGTTACTTCTTAAAAAGGCAGTTTTGAATGCTGCAGCACAAAGGATCCACAAAAATGTCAATTTATGATGGAGAAAGGGAAAGCTCTAAGTCAGGGAACATTTAATGTTTCATCCATCACTTAAAATCAATCAATTGAAAGTTTGAATAAAAATAAAGAAACCTATCTGCAGATAAATGTTTTGGTTAAATGAGTTTGGCTGAAATATTTTCTTAAAGATTGGATTGAGGGTTTTAAAAAAAGTTTTATTAATATTTAATATTTCCATGGTTTCCATGTAAAAATACTCTGAGAAACAAATGAGTTAGAAAAATCAATCCATACTAAGAATAGTTTGCTCCATTCTCAAAATGGCTTTAAAGATTCAGGGGTACTTATTTTATAATTGAAAAGAGGTTTTGCAGGCTATTTCCTGTGAAAGGTAGGATTTTAGACAGAGAGGAAGTATCGCTGGCTATGCAACATTCACAGCAAACCCTACACCCTAAGATGAAGGGCTTGGAATAGTGATCTTTTCAGCTTCACAGTTCTGATAGTTAAACTCAGGGCCTTTTCCTAAAATCTTGCCCCTGAGCCACACATCCTGGTCAGGATCTCCCTTTTGTAGAGCCACAAACATTTACACTACCAACTGGTTATGAGGAGAGCTCTGCACAGTGCCATTGGATTTTAGGAAATCTTTCAGTCTTTAAGAGGTCGAAAATAAAAATGGGGGCATTTCAATGAGCTCACTAGGTTACATAAAGGTCTATGATGCTGTACATTCCCTAGCTAGTAAATGCCAACTTTTCAAGGCTGTCCAGAAGATCACTGATACTGATAAATATCTAAGTACAATGTTTGCACTAAAAATTATAGGTCAATATGTATAAGAAGCTAAAGTAGCTAAAGCCGAAATAACTTCTTTTTTCCCCTAAAGGGAGTTGCCTTTGCTGATTATTATTCTGCTGGCAAAGAAATCACAGGATGCTTGGGAGGGAGAAAGCACCAGCGCCTCTGGTCCGCCGGGCAGTGCCCTTTCCTTGCAGCAGGGTCAGTGCTGGTCGGCACCGGCACAGGACACAGCGAGTTCTCTTTCTCTCTGAGGATCCAGGGCCACAGAGCCTTCCCAATTAAATCTCCAGTGAAAGAAGCTGGAGCCAGGACTCCAGTCCATGCTGCCACTGACTGCTCATGTGACTCTGGGCAAATTATGAAGCCTCTGTGAAGTAGGCTCCGGGGGTAAAAAAAAAAAAAAAAAAAAAAAACACGTGAAACTGGCCATTCCAACCTATAAAATCAAGCGATTTCATGTCACCTAAATATAGACCCTCCATTCTCAAGTTATTGTGGGGATTTAGTATATGAGATGTTTAAAATGATACCTAGAAGGTAGAAAATACTGTATGTTTTATTTAGAAGGCTCTTCAAAGTCCTTTGAACAAGAAGGGAGGAAAAAGTGGCTTTTTTTTTCTTTTGGTGGGACTGGGGATTGAACCCAGGGTCTTGCACATGTTAGGCAAAGCTGTACTTACTACTGAGGTACAACCCCAACCCCAAATTACTATTTCTTTTTAAAATGAGGACACAGACTATTCAAAGAAATGAAAGGAGCTGGGTATGGAAATAACAGATCCACAGGGGAGAAACAATTTAAAATAAAATTAGTGCAGCCAGTTGTGGTAATGGGAGGCTGAGGCAGGAGGATCACAAGTTTGAGCCCAACCTGGGTAAATTAGTGACATAGTGAGACCCTATCTCATAATGTAAAAAACTATAACGGACTGGACTGGAGATATGGCTCAGTGTGAAGGCCATGAATTCAAGCCCCAGTATTGAAAAAAAAAGTGTACTATGAGTTTGATATTTAGTGAAGAAAATCTATTTGGGATTTTTAATGTTTGTTTTAAATCAAGGCACATTAGCACCAGGGATTTAGCTCAGTGGTTCCGCCGCCTGCCTTGCAAGCACAAGGACCCAAGTTCAATCCCCATATTGACTGGTACAAGCTTCATGAGATAGGATCAAAGATCAGATTCACACAAACACATCAGAAATGAGGCTAGGTTTCGTAGAATGGGTGCTTATTATTTTAATAATTTTAGGTGTAGGTAAAGCTCAGAACTGGAGGTCACGTTCTGAAAGATGACTGCTGGTGAGGAACGCCCACGACATCATTCTTTGTACTTGTGGAAGGGCTGCTGTGTCACTCTGTCACGCAGTATATGTGCATAGTATATATGTGTAAAGTCTAAGCACAAAGACACTGAGAATGAGTGCAGAATCATGCAGGTGCCCGGCTCTTACCTTAGGAAAAGGTGAGCTTGGGCTAGTACTGCTGGCTGCACCCTACAGGGTGCTCCAGCCGAGGGACCCACTTGCAGTCACTTTACACAGTCAGAAAACAGCTGACCATGGGCAAGAGAACACCTGATCACCAAATACTAAGTCAGTGGTGGCAAGCACGTGTGCCACAGTGGGCTGAATGTATCATCGAAAGCTTTGAAAGGTTCGCCATCACTGTACAGTATTAAAGGAAGCAGCTTTTCAGTCAGGGACACAGGCTTCCTCTCTCGAAAGGGACTGCATGTCAGGAGCTCAGTCCTCAACGCAAAGGGTAGCAGGTGGAGACCCAGGAGCCCTTTGGTTCTGGCCAAGCTAACTCTTCTAGAAGTTAAAGATGGGGAAAAAGAGGGCAGAGAGTTTAAACTGAAAAAGTTCTCAGGGCTGCCACAAACAGTCCCCAAGCATAAGCATCAGTGGTGGTGGCCCTGGTCACACACAGGGACATGTGCAGAACTTGAAGGGTGACTGCATAGAGAAGAGATAAGTGTTCTATTGCACTTGGCAAAATCGAAAAGCAATCAGCACGTTCTCCCAACAAGTAGCAATCAGAGAAATAAAAATCACATTTCTCAAATTCTAATCTTTAGTCCCCAAATATAAGTATGCCATTTTCATACACATTTACTTCTTAAAAATAAATTCATTGGAAGAAAAAGAAATAAAATGACCAATAATAGAGATATTAAATACCTGCCTCAGCTTTTACTGCCTTCACTTTTTCTGAAATCTATTCTTTAACCAAATATTGGCATTTCTTTCCAGAGTTTCATTTCCGTTAGCCAGGGAATCTGTTATGTTTAATCAGTCCTGATACAAACCACAGATTTTTTGTGATAAGTACCTTATTGAGAGCTTAATTCATGTACCAAGTTTTTATTTCAATGTCTTTTGTCCCATTCTAGAATATCTTGCATTCGATCTGGGTGAGGCCCTTGTTCAAGAACTTGTACTTCTGCAATAATTTCGGGTACCCTAATGTGCAGTGCTCTACACAGTCTTTAAAACCTCTCTTTAAAGCTTTCCTACCTATAACAATGGGTTGGAGGGAAAGCCTGAAGCATCTAGGGCTTTAAAAGCCTTTTTTTCTCTTCTTACAAAACATTTTCAAACTAGTGGACAAAAAAGGTGCTAAATCTGGACCCCAACATTCCTGTTCTAATGAGGGGTAATAAATCACAGGGGTGGCCTTAAAGTCTGGATCAGAAAACGTGGGTTCAGACGCTGCCACTGACTGGGCACATGTGCTGCTGAATGAAGTAAGCGCCTCTGGCCAGACTCTGCACTGGTTACAAAAAGGAAGTGGAGCAGCAGTAGACAAAACCTGACTGGCTTTTGACTCTGCTGGCCGTTCGGGTGAGCATGGCTATTCTGCCCCTGATGGAAGAACAGGAGGTACCAACCAGCAAGCTATGGTATTGGGCTGTGTGATCTAACTGCTCCCGAACAAGCCCCACCATGTCATGCATAGGAAGGTACAGTTCCTGGCAGACTTTAGACAATCCAAAGTGCTGGGAAAATGAGGGACATCTGGTAAATAGACTGTCTATACTATTTGCAAATATGGTGTCGTTATGTTAAACATTATATTAGAAACAATATCTATCTCCAAGGATACAGACAAACCACCAGATGCCAAAGAACAGTGTATCTTTTAACCTTTGTGCTACACACCTCATAGGGGAACATCTTTAAGCCTTCCAAACTATTCAACATTTTGATTCACACTAATGCTTGAAAGCTAAAAGCTTAAGTATTAAGATACAATATATGCTAATGGCAATTACAGTGTCTTTCTTCAGTGTCCAGCAAGTACTAGGCCTTACAATGATGTTTCTTTACTTACCAGGAAGGTTGTGCCACTTGTTCACGGCAAAGAGCCTGTTAGCAGTAACTGTGATCACAGCGGGAGTTGCCAAGCCAGGCTGGGTGTTGGCTGCCACGTGGGTGACGGGGGAGTTGGAGGGAAACTTTAGGACCATGATAACATCCTGCTGGGCTTGGTCTGTGAACATCAAGGGGCTCTGCAGGAGGAGATACTGTTGAGTGGGTGAGACAAGACCCAAATATACAAGGAGAAGACAAAGGAGACAAGGAAGACAGAGGGTGCAGGAAAAGAAGAGGAAGACCTTGTTAACACAGGCTGCAAGTTGAAGTGTGGTGCGCAGAAAGGCTTGCAGAAGTAGTGATTGTGATTTGCTTGTTTTTCACATGGCACTATTTGAAATTTTCAGTAACTGAAACAGAACGCAGTAACAGAAACACTTAGAAAATCTATACATTAGCTCCCTTTCCCTGTCCACTGCCATGAAAAACTAAGAAAATAATTTGCTTTAGATTTTAAATAGGAAAAGTAATGAGGATTGCATTAAACCATTGCAGTTGCTATAACATGTCATGTAACCATCTTTCAGTTTAAAAAAAGAATGTAGGCAAGAGGCATAAAAGCAAGCCAAGGGAATTTCCAAGTGTCACCAAAAGTAGTCTTCAGTTAGCACAAGATTTTGACAACTAAAAAGATACTTAAAAAAATTCATTGATAAACAGTAGTCAGCACACATTACAGTTAAATAATTTATGAATATAATATACAAACTTAATTATAAAAGTTTTTCACAGCAATGCCTAATTAAATGCATTTGTAAAAAACAAGATATTTATAGTGTGCAAAGTCCTAAACACTGCCTTCTGTGATGCAAACACCACTGCTTTTACAGTAGCTCTGGATAAAGAGAAATAAATAGGTGTCCTTCCTCCCTCTAAGTAAACAAACTAATGCTCAAGACTTATTTGTTCTTGAAAAGCAAAAAGTAATTGAAAATGTTAAACAAAATATTGTCTTCTCTAATAACCAGCAACAAAATAAATCTTGAAGCTAGTAAGGATTTGGAACATTCCTATAAGCCATATGTCATAATGTGAGACATACAACACCATTCTGATTTATTAGCTTTATTTATACTGTGTGGTAGTCTGCTATCACGCAGTAATTGCACTGAACATTTTCAGCAATTCTCTCCTACCATGTCTATTTTCTAATAGCTGATTAGTATCATTCAGAATTGAAACACTTTGATGAAATGCTCCGGCTGCTTTCCTACTGCCATATTTCAAAACACCAGGTAAACGTAAATGTGTGGGCACATATATTGGACACATATTTATTCAGAACTGCTAATAAAAAATTAAATACATTTGCATTTTTATTATCAGTCCTTTTAAAAAAGTTATTAAGAGTACTTAGAAAAACATATTGCACTAAGAATTCCTATTTGCACTCTTTGCATAAAGGTGTAAATAAAGGCAACTAATAAGCTACCCAGACACCCTTCTGAGCAAGTGGCTAAAAGCCAATCAATATTATGAGTTAATCCTCCCTGGATGCTCATTCAATTAAAGGTGTCAGTAATGCCTCATCTGATGTGGCCTCAATTAAATCCAACTATCTGATGGTGTGAAAACACAGGGGGATACAGCAACAGCAGCAAAACCAGACAAATAGGCAGCCTTCGTGTGCCTGCTAATTACTACACCTGGTGTATATTATGGCTCATGCACTTGACGCAGCACGAGGCAGCTTTAATTTCTGCTCTATTCCTGTGTGTGTGGGGGGGTACACTGATAATTGATGGGGGAACTCATCTGAATGTTGGTAAAAACAATTAATAAACGTGGACTTTTGATTTTTAAAACCCTTATATCAAGCAGTTTCTTACATGCAAAGAACTAAAGAACTGTTTATGTGTATTTTTAAGGAATTCTGTGAAATTAGGTAAATAATAAGAAACAAGCAGCCACAATAAACAAAATATCCTACAAGCCAGTTTTAAAGAAGTCCTAAGAAAAGGAAATGAACATCAGAGTACAAAGCCTCATTTTTCAATTACATGTTTTTTAAGTAATATTTACTCAGGTTAATTTATAAACTCTTCAGAAAATGAGAATGCAACATAATTATAAAGTCTCCATGAAAAGAAGTTCATGCATATTTTAATTTAACAGTTGATATTATAAATATAATTAGGCTCAAATTGAGTAATTCCAATGTTTATGCCTTCAAAAAAAACCCTGAAAAATCTTGGCCACATGGTGAGAAAAATCTTAGCCACTTCCCACAGCAAGCCGCAGACACCGTCCTCAGCCTGTGCACTGCTGTGTCGTGAGCAGCTGTCCCCACACCGCCCCTGTACACCCGCCAAGTGGGGTCTGGATGCAGGCAGGAGGAGGGGCAGAATCACCTGGCTGACCAGCGAGACTGGTGACTGCAGAGCACTGCCACACCCTGGGCCGGTCTGCAGCAGCTGTCCACCAGCCAGAGAGCTAGGAAAATGGAACAGGAAAGACAAACCGTCTTCTAATCTTGCATGCCTCCGCCAGCCCAGGGTGAGGCAAGAGTAGGAACCTGCTAGCCACATCCCGCTCAGTGCTCCCAGGGGAAAAGCTACCAACTCGGGTTTCTTTTGAACATGCTTTTCTTTTACCCTCACCTATGTCCAAGATAAAAAGTACACTTATACAAGTCTGAAAGGAGTTTAGTACTCCATTCAGAGGATAAAGTAATGAGAAAGGAGGGTCTCTCATACTCATGTGAGCATGTGTTCCCACCAAGGGACGGGAAAGCTGATCCGCCTGGATGAGCCAATAATCTTTTGCCACAAGGAAGGCTGCACAGCGGGACCTCGGCGCTGCCCCAGAAGTCACGGCTGTGCGGTGACCCCAGCAGCCAGTCATGTGGGCAGTGGAGGGGCTTCTATTAGCCAGCACCAACCAGCCTGAGCCCCGCTGACAAGCCAGTACTAAAACTGATTCCCAGCACCAGACATAAGTCATCCTCACTGTATCTACAGCTCTGTCTCCCACTGTTCCTGCCAATGCTCGCTCTTGGGGGAGTCTCCAGCCCACTAAAGTTACTCTTGACATTCATGTAAATCTGAGTTTTTAAAAGAGACAAGAAAAAAGGGAATATGAATAATTTTAAAAATGTTTGTAGTTTATTATTGTAGCCAATTCATATTACCAGAGAAAGAAGGGGGAAAACCTTGGAAGAAGAAAGTAGGTGAAAAGGAGAGGAACAGGCAAAAAGACACAAAGAACGACACAGGAAGGGAAAGGAAAAAAGAAAAGAAAAAAGACAGGGCTTTATTTCTATCCCTGGCTCTCTCATTGCGGCTCTTTCCTTCTTACGACGGTATCTGTCACAATTCTGCTGTCTCCAAGCCGCAATATGGAATTTGAACTTATCTTAAATTGTTCATAACATTGATGGAAATAGATTTTATATTTAATCTAAAACAGTCAAAAGCAAACTGCTTTACGAAGGACAATTCAAGAAAAAAATAGTATCTAGAGTTTTTTTAAAAATTATTTTCGTTATATAGTTCAATTCATTACTATGCCATTTTTTCCACCTCCCTGAACAATTTTCCCCTTGAAATTTCATGGGCTATGAAGGTAAAAGGTCACATTATTTTATAGCCCAGTCTGTTCCCTGAACCTGATTCCAGGCTAGCTGCTGACTTGCTGTGACCAATACAACATGGGGTATGTGATGTGTGGGTTCAAGGAGCCTCCACAAGCCTCGGGTCACCATTCTGCCACTCAGCTATACCCCCAGGGGGTAAGAGGAGCCGGGTCATCTGAGCCCCCTCTCAGCAGTGTGTGAGCCAAGGGGACAGGAGCAGAAGAAATGCCACTGAACTCTCAGAACTGGAGAAACAAAATGATCCATTTCACGCACCTAGCCTTGATTATGCCAAGCCAGGTCTGTGAACTTCAGAAATGTTATCGGAATTATTTAATTAGCAGGGTATGGTGCACATGGCTGAAATCCCAGCACTCTGGGAGGCTGAGGTAGAAGGGTCCCAAAGTCAAGCCCAGCCTGGGCAACTTAGTGATATCTTGTCTCAAAATAAAAGATAAAAAAAGGGATGGGATGGATGGGATGTAGCTCAATGAGAAAGGCCTGAGTTCAATCCCCAGTACCAAAAAAAAAAAAAAAATTGCTGAATTAAGTGATTATTGAGCTATGTCCTATATATTATCAAAATTAGTTTTACAATTCCAAAACTGAAAAAAGTGGGCTATGAAGAATAAACAAATAGCAAAACTAATCTAGAAACTCAGAAAATATATCAACCTAGCTCTAACTTTTATCCCGCAGTGCGGACACTGTGCAACACATAATACTGACTGATAAAATACCAGAGCACTGCAGCTGTGCTCACCTTCTCAGAGGCTCCAGGAGAGAAGGCAAAAACCCTGACGGGTGTGGCTACTAACAGGCTAACAGGCACCGCAAGAGAACAGCCCAGGTGTGCAAGGACTCTAAGCGCAATGGGAGGCTGTGAGGAGCACCAAGAGAGCACGGTCAGAAAGAGGGCCCAGAAGCCAGGAGAACTAGAAGAGAGCACTCACCGCCTGCATGGCAGAACCTCTGGGAGGATGGGGCTCTATGAGCAGCTGAGAAGGCGTCTGTCCAAAACTTCGGATTTGAGCTTCAACAGCCTGAAAAAGGCACGGGCAAGTCTGAAGGTTAAGAGGTGCTAATTACAGGCAAAAGAACCACAACTGCCACCCGAAAATGTCACTCCATACTTCTGGCTTCCTTCATTTGGAGAACCATCCTGTGTTTTCACAGGGGGCTGTGCACCAGGCAAGGGCACCGAGGGTGAGATCACTTGCTAGTACTGTGGATGCTGTTCCCACAAATACCGTAAAACTTTCTCATCTTGCTCAGCGATAGGAAACAGGAACCAGCTATTGCAATCAGAAACTGTCCTTTTGGTTTTTATCTCCATTTTCTTGCTTTGGTTTTCCTGCTTGTATCATCTCTGATAACAAAAAGCTAATCTTTACAAGTATGGAGAAAAACTACTGCTTCAGTTTCAGAAAAAGAGACAAAGACAAAGGGAAGGAGGGAGGAAGGGAAGAAGGGAGGGGAGAGAGACAAAGAAACAAAGATAACTAAGAGTTACTTCAACACCCCTACTACAGCCCAGTATTAGCTCCCAGATTAAATGAAAATCCCCCAAATTCAGAAGAGAATATATGTTCATCATGTCTATTTCATCTTTTAGGAAAGTTGGTGTTCAATTTTTAAATGCTCTGCAGGACTTTCATACTGTAGGCAACTAATAAATCATACAGAGGAAATATAATCATTATCCAGGATCACCCTCCTTTTCTTATTCCATGAGGCTACCAAGAGTGGCCCTTTACAAGGACCTTGTAAGAAACATGCCAGCATTATTCGTATATGCACTCATGAACTATGTGCACAGCTCTATCAGGTCTTAATGTGTCTTCCTTCCCTTGAAGGATACATTCCTGACCTAAGAAGCAGGGGGAATGCACCTAGTGATCTGTCCAGCAGTTGAGCCATGCTTTGCAGTCTGGGGAGGCACAGAAGGCTGTGAGGTCTATGTGACGGCTGAGGGGCGAGGGAGAAGTGGCACAGGCCACGATCACATCCTCTTCCAGACCATTTACTGAGCTATATGATCTAGGGTGGGTAAGTTATGTAACCTAAGTTTCAATCTTCTCTCCTGCAGAATGAGTGACTATAGTACCCATGTCATAATGTTGTATTAAAGATTAAATGATGTGGATAGAAAACATGGCAAAGTACTCGACACAGATTAGATCCTCAATTTGCAACAAATATTCATGGAGTGCTGCTAACAAGGACTATTTGGTACTATTCACCAGAAACGTTTCTCAGTCATTTACTACTCTGTATTATTTAATCTTGTTTCCTCTATTTTATAGATAAAGAAAATAATGCACTGTGAACTGGGGATGCGTTAAGGTCACATGGTAGTTAAGTGGCAGATTCAAAATCTGCACCTGCAAGGCTCTGAGCCTCCTGCTTCCTAATCCGTTCTGTGTTACGCCGGTCACAGAGAGGAGACTGAGTGCAACAAAAATCTGAGCTCACTGTCTAATGAACGAGTCTGTCACATCATCACTCCAGAGTGCTCGGGCAGCATGAAGAGGCCAGGCTGGTGGAAACCGAGCAGGAAGGCCAGCTCCGGGAGCAAGAAAAGGGGCCAACAGGAGGGAAGAGTGGAATGCTGCTGGGGTCAGAACAGCAGGGATGGGGTGAGATTAATTCATGATCAAATATCAAGAACAATCTTGAGAAAGAAAGCACAGAATAGAGGCCACACTGCTATGTTATGCTACGTGGACTTAGGGACTGGGTTTACGGATGAGAACCTTAAATTTCTGGTCAAGCGTAACTGCCCGAACCATGCCCTTTCCTCGGACTGCTGCTTCCTGGGGCCCTTGCCCGGCAGCCCACATGCCCTCCCCATTAGGAGGAAAGCACGCTGTCAGGGAACGCGTCCCTTCAGCAGGCGACCTGTGCTGTCAGATGGCTCTGTGTTAGTCCTGGCTCTGCCTCGCATCTGTTGTTAGACACTGGGCAAGTAGCTTAATCTCTAACTCCCATCCATGAAAGAGAAAATCACAGTACCTAGCTCATAGAATTGTTTGGAAACTAAACAGATAATACACATGAAGTGTTATCACAGTACCTACTGGCACATACACAGCACTAAATCAAACGCTGTAGTATTGTTACTATCCTGGAACTCCGTGTGGTGCCCATTCAACATGGCTAAAATAAGAAAGGAAGAAATGCTTCAGAGGAAATCTGGGGTAGCTTTTACATATACAGAGGTAAACACTTTTATTTATCTTTTTTTTTTTTTTTTTTT